TGAGGGAGTGTGGAGATGTATTTACCTTCAGGAGAGGGATCTCATCCAGACAGACGGACATCTATCCAGATTTGAGCACCTCTGGCCTCTGTTGGAAATGATAAAACAATCTTCGTCAGCATAGACATGATGTATTGTAAGGTAAATCAACATGACTAAAAGTCACCATAGATTTGTGTTTTGTTTTCCTGAAGGGCCTCTCATGAGCAGAATTCACAGAGGGGCCTGAGACAGCCGCTGAGCCCCAGACTTCAGGGCCCCTAGGGCTTCCATGTTGATGGTAGGCATGGCCTTCAGGTGAGGTGCGGAGAAGTCCGCAGCAAGCTTGTGTGATTGCTGGACAATCCCAGCCTGGCTGCCCGGGGTGCTGCGCGTGAGTCCTATGAATACATCAGCCCTGTGGCTATTTGTAGATAACTCAAGAGGATCTATTGAGTGCTTTCATGCATTCAATGCAAGTGTTTATGAGCTCTCCTTTGGACTCTGTTTTGGCATTTCTCTATATGAATATACTTTGCACGGGGAGGTGATTGCAAATGTCGAGAAGACTCTCACCTGTCTTTTTGTTTTTTTAGGCAGTGTCCTGACACCACAGCTGGGCACACACAGGGGCCCACAGGGTTGGGAAGAAGGGTGGTAGCTCAGGACGGCCAGGCCTGCGTGCGTGGTTCTGAGTTCCTCCAAGGCAGAGCATGCTTGTGTGTGCGTGTGTGTGTGTGTGTGTGTGTGTGCATGCATGTGCGTGCGTGTGGTGGGAATGGAGCCCAGTGCACGGGAGGCCCAAGGGGTCCGTATCTGAACCGAGCTGACTGTGTGCCAGGAACTTTGGCATCGCTTTACAACCCTGTGTCACTTAAAGTGACACAGGCGGGCGCCCCCAGCCTCTCCAGAGACTCTCTGTCTTTGCTCATCAATATATGGATTACGTTCAGGCCAGGTTTCCCCATGCATTTTTAAACTCCCTACTACCCAAATGCTGGTTCCTCACGGAGGAGGGGGAAGTGTTGTTTTAGCACGCGTGGAGAAGGAGATGGAGCGAGGGAGAATTGATGAGTGCGGTGAGGCGGGGGGAAGGCGTCACCCAGGCATGAAGTCGGGTATTCTCTCAGTGATGTCGTTTTGCTTGGGCTAAAGCTGTGACGTGTCAGAGCCTGACACCTGGCTGATTAAATGGGCATTTTGACTAAGGAAGAGCTACTGTCTTTAGAACAATTGCGCAGTTCATCTTCTCGAAACAGGCGAAGTTAGTTGAACTTGAGACCTGTTACTTTAAACAAGTTCTTTCAACAACTGAAAGAACAAATCCTTCCTCGCACAGGGGATTTCAGTTCACACAGTTGGTCTGTAAGTATTGTGATGCTTGATCAATATCACCCACTTTTTTGTATCATTTTCCCCTGTCTCTCCCAACCCTATCCAGGCCCTCAGATAATTACAGTGTCCTGCTATGTGCTGAGTACTGTTCTATGCACTTAAGACACCTCAGTGGACAGATCACAGGGTGGCTCTCATCGCCTTGTAGCTGGCGATACATGCAATGAACAAAAGAGCAAGTGGAATATGAACGAGGGATCTGAAGTGGCAGATGGTGGCCCTTTGGGGGACTGAGAGGGTGACATTGGAGCAGGGGCTCATGGGAGGTGAGAGGTGAGATCGGCGTGTGTCTGCAAGAGCACCGGGGGGCTCAGTCCTTGGAATTCCTCTTCTTTCTTTGTTTGCTAAGAAATAGGAGAGGCTCCCAGCGTTCCTTCTCTAGATGTACCATTGGAGGGAATGCAGGCACCAGCCTGTGAGGTACTGAGACCCTGGGCCCGAGACTTGTGTAAGACATTTTCACCCCTGGGAAGCACTTCCATGTGGTGGGCGGGAGAGGGCGGAACTGTTCTGTACCTTGTGGCTGGTTGCAGGATGTGTTAACATTCGCAGAGCTGTATACCCGGAAAGTCCGTTTCCCTCTACAGTCACTGGACAAATATTTGAAAAGCACTTTAGCTTTTTGCTCTGCTCAAAAGACCTGTGATGCAGGCAGGCAAGGTCATCGCCGGTCTGGTAGATGAAGAACCTGCCGCTCAGCTGCCAGGGTCAGAGTTGAGTCTCCAATGCAGGCCCATTCCAAAGCTCATGCCTACCATAGTGCCTCCCAAATTAAGGCATCTGTGTGGCCAGACTTCCTGCTGCCTAGAAAACAGCCAGGATGACAGCCACAGCTTCCCAGGTCCCAGGCACGCCTCCAGATCCTTTGCAGTGTTAAAATACTAAGTCGCTTAGTGTTAAAGATCCATACCCTTCTCAGGACCTTAGCTTTTTCACTCAGTGCTTGCCTTATATCACTTGATTCACAGCTCCTCTTGCAGCTCATTTTTGTTGTTGTTGTTGTTTGCTGGTTAATTAGAAAGCCTTAATCTCCAACGAACTGGTGTCAAACTGTGATCCTCAGATCTAGCCTTCTGAATAGCTAGGATTATAGGCTTAAACCACCTATGCACGGTTGAATAGAACCTTTAGGCCTTTTTAGAGAATAACAGTCTCTTCCCTTGTAACTCTTGTGATGCTCCAAATTCTACCAACAGAAGCAGTTTGTTAGGTTTCAAAGCCCAAGTAGGAAGATTGCTTCGAGACCTTATGCCTCATACCTACAGCTCTGGAGAGCTGTTTTAATAGGGGTGATGTCTTTGAATTCCCATCTCTTATGTCTGAGTCTCCATTGAATTTGCACTTCAAATGACAAGATCCTACCAAGAGGTCTGGTCTGTGGGATGAGGTCTTAGAAGAAGCCAAAAGTGAGGAAGGTGGATTTGAGAAGAGGTACAGCAATCAAAGACAAAACTCACCACCGTCTCAAACATCCTGCATACACAGGCACATTCCCGTGGTGAATTGCTCAGTGAAAACCATCCTAGCATACCATGTGTGCCTTCACAGAGAAGAGAATTAAACTGAGGAGAATCAGGGAAGCTCTGAGCCAGAATGACTCGGAGTAGCAAGTGAAGCCAGCACTAACTTGAAGGTGAAAAGGAAGGAAGCCTCTGTGTCTATAAGATACTTGAGTGGAGACAGCTACTTTCCTGACTGGCTGGTCAGTGGCTCATCTTTCCTTCAAGCATCTGATGCTAGTCTGTGACGACTCTCATTTTTGCGGGGAGCCTGCACATGGATGCAAATCCTGTGGTCCTATGCTCTGTATTTGATTGCTGTCTCCTGGCACTACATCCAAGTCTGAGCTGTCTTTCAGCCTTTTCCTTTGTTGGTTTTAGTCATCCAAGCTTGCCAGGTTGCATGTTGTGGTGGAGTTTTTTGTTGTTGTTACTGTTGTGTTGTTTTGCTTTGTTTTCCCTATCTGATCTGACCACATCTGCCCTCTAGTGGCCAATGTGGGGGCAGCATGTGTTGCCTATCTAGCTGGCCGCCAGGGTCTGTTTCTGGGTGACTTTCTGTCCTTCTTGTCCTCTGGCCTTCCTCACCAGAGTCCCTCCCATTAGCATTATGTCTCAAGATCTGATTAAATTTGCCATGGAAGGGATGTCCAGTGTCCTGGTGCCCAAGAGGAAAAGAAGAGGAAAATACGTGGGAAATTACAGAATCCAACTCCTTTCACACCTGCAACCCAAAGGACTGCAACAGCCTTCTAATTTATGTCTGGCTACTTCCAGATGCAGTCCTCTCTCATGCAGGGGCATATGTTTGAACACACCCCAGGGTGCCAGGCACTGGTGGCTTAGGCTTATTATAATCGTAACCGTTCAGGTGACTGAGATCTGAGGATCACGGTTTGAAGCCAGGTCATGCAGGAAAGTCCATGAGAGTCTTAGTTTCCAGTGAAAAGTGAGACATGGAGATGTTACTTAAGTGGTAGATAGTACCAGCCTTTAGGGAAAAAGCCAACTGAGAGCACGAAGCCCTGAGTTCAAGCCCCACAACTAGCATAAAACAAACAAAAAGATACTCCACACTATCTTGAGTGTTAAGATCTGAATTAGAGGACTCCCTTTGATCTTATTTATTCTTGTTTTCTGTTGGTCATGGGGCTTGAACTCTGGGCATGGGCACTGTCCCTCTGCTCTTCAGCTCAAGGCTAGCGCTCTACCACTTGAGCCACAGCACCACTTCTGGTTTTCTGGTGGTTTATTGGAGATAAGAGTCTCACAGTCTTTCCTGCCTGGGCTTGTATTGGACCTCAATCCTCAGATCTCAGCCTCCTGAATAGCTAGGATTACAGGTGTGAGCCACCGGCACCCAGCTGATCTTACTTATTTTAAAGCCACAGCAATATATGTGCTATAAGAACAGAAAACGTACCAATAAACTATAAAAATCATAGAAAATTCTGAACGTATAAATGAATGAAAAAAAAAAAGGGATGGTGCTTAAGGGTTTAGGGATGTGATTACATACCCACAAGGTAATCACTGCTAATATCTTGATTTATTTCCAAGTTTGGGTGTTTCAACTTTTACATGAATGCCATTACCCTGCACCCACAATTGTGGGTCGTGATGTTTTTTGTTGTCACAACACATTTTTTTTTTCCTGTTGCTAAGTGCTCCTTTAGGCCATAGGTTCACTGATCGACTACACTATCCTATGGCTGAATGTTCACTGCTTTTAAAATAGCATTTGGCTGCTATGCAAATGGACTGTGATCAACATATTTGTGCACCTGTGGCTTTTTCCCGTAATTCAGATTCTTTTCCCAAGGACGGAATTCCAGCAAATGGAAATTGTAGGTTACAAGATATGTTTCTAAGGCTGATGGCCAACTTTCTTTCCAAAGGGATGTCCTAATTTATATTGCCACCAGCAGCGGATGGGGTGGAGGGAAGGGAAATGCTTTAGCTATTTGCTCTTAAAGGGGAAGAGGTCATTTCCACTAATGGACTTGTTGGCCGGTTTCCAACAGGTAAGCGAATTCCACTACGGCTGACGAAATTCCTGATGCTGCTCTGGTCCAAGGCCTATCACTCCCTTTAACCAGCAACTGTCTTGGGAAGTTCAACCGTACACATCCGAGGAAGGAGCCATCCCCACTGAACCGCAGCCATGAATTTCCTCAGGCGGCGCCTCTCCGACAGCAGCTTCGTGGCCAACCTGCCCAATGGCTACATGACCGACCTGCAGCGCCCAGAGAGCTCCACCAGCTCCCCCGCCTCCCCGGCCATGGAGAGGAGGCACCCCCAGCCCCTGGCAGCCTCCTTCTCCTCCCCGGGGTCCAGCCTCTTCAGCTCCTTCTCCAGTGCCATGAAGCAAACGTCACAGGGCCCTGTGGGGCTGGCAGAGCCCCCCACGCCCTCCACACCCATGGTCCAAAGACCCAGGGTCCTGTTGGTGATTGATGACGCTCACACAGACTGGTAAGACGGGATGGATGCATGCCACTCCCAGGGCAGAATTGAGACGAGGCTTGTCTCTTCTCTTTCGGGGAAACAGGAGAGAGTTTGTGTGCTTTCAGAAACTGGCCACAGAGAAGGAAGTTAACTTTTACCAAGCTGACAGTCACCCGTTATACCCCGTTCTCCACGAGCTTAACCTTGGCAGCTCAAAGGCCAGTAGCTCTGCAAACCAGAAAATGTGTTTGAAGTCCTGTGGGCAGCAAAGCCCAGCCAGAAAGAAAGTTGAAATTGGACACTGGTGGCTCACGCCTGTAATCCCAGTTACTCAGGAGGCTGAGATCTGAGGATCATGGTTTGAAGCCATCCTAGGCAGGAAAGTCTATAAGACTTATTTCCAATTAATCTACCAATTAAGTGGTAGAGTGCTAGCCTTGAGGGAAAAATCTGAGGGACAGTGTCAGGCCATGAGTTCAAGGCCATGACCAACAAGAAAGAAGGAAAGCAGAGAGAGAGAGAAGGAAAGAAAAGGGAGGAAGGGGGAGAGGGAGGGAGGGAGGGAGAAAGAGAAAAAGGAGAGATAGAGAAAGGGAAGGAGAAAAGGAAATGAAAGTTGAACCCGGGCTATGATAGTCTGATTGTACCATCCCATACACCCGCTCAAGTGTCGGGTTGCGAGTGTGTCAGTGTGTTTGATGTGGATGCTAGCAGACTGATGCTGGTGGCTCATGCCTATAATTCTAGATACTCATGAGGCTGAGATCTGGGGATTGTGGTTCAAAGCCAGCCTGTAAGACTAATCTTTAAGATTTGTATCTCTAATCAAGCGGCAAAAAGCTGGAAGTGGAGGTGTGGCTCAAGTGGTAGAGCATTAGTCTTGGTAAAAAACAAAAAAAAAAGCCAAGTAAGAGTGTTCAAGCCTCAGTACCAACACACACACACACACACAGACACACATGCATGCATGTGCACGCACACACACCCAAATCCAAACATGGCAGGTACCTATAAGCCATGTTACCTTTCAAAAGGGGTGGGGGGAACTGTGGAACACTATTGGCTCACGCCTGTAATCCTAGCTACTCAGGAGGCTGAGATCTGAGGATCACAGTTTGAAGCCAGCCTGTGCAGGAAAGTCCCTGAGACTCTTATCTCCAGTTAACCCCTCAAAAACCAGAAGTGGATCTGTGGCTCAAAGTGATAGAATGCTAGCTTTGAGTAAAAGAGCTCAGGGACAGCGCCTAGGTCCTGAGTTCAAGCCCCATGACTGAGACAAACTTCAGTCTGACATACAGCGGGTAATGTCGCCCCATAAACCACTGTTGGTCTCAGCCTTCCCCTAACTCCTCCCACAGTGAGGTAGAGAGATATGAACACAGGCTCGCTGGGAAGTCCTCATCCCAAATCCTGCGGGTCGGCTCCCTGAGCGTGGACTGCTCTCCCGGAGGCTCCACAGCCTGTCCAAGACACCCAAGGCGGGCGTAAGTGACATGCCCTCCAGCCTCTGGGACAGCATTTCCAGATGGCACGTTCTACAGGCAAAGGCCTGGCCATGTGCCGAGCTCTGCAACAGCCATTCAACTGGTAATCAGTACACAGTGCAGCCTGTGCGCTCAGGTGTGCCGCTCTCCTGCGGCAGCTGAAGATAGAATCCACAGTCTAAAATGTCAGCCCCCATGCAGGGGCCCGGCCGCACTGCACCCAGGGCAGAAGAGGGCGTGGATGGAAGCAGAGGATTCTGAGGGTAGGCCCGTGCCCAGCCCTTGGGGCTGCAGGCCACGCATGTGTGCATCTCCGGAAGGCTGATGCTATGTAGTGCCTGCACAGATGAGCACTTCTAGATCCTCTGGTGTTCACTCACGTCCATCTGTCAAAGTTAACTCTGTGAATACAACTGAGTTAGGTCCGGGATTGAACTTACGCTCAGTGGAGTAGCTGATTGTTGATAGGCATTCTCCGTATAGAGTTCACGTTAAGTGTGTGTTCAGGACTTGGACACCAGGCTCCCTTTCCTAAGCAATCGCTGTGACTTCACCTGTCACTGTTGTCCTGTGAGTCCTCTTTGCAGTGGGGTGCTCCAAGGTGCTTGTCGTGAAGCTTGGTTCTAGTATGTTAGGTGTTCCTATAAACCTCAAGCCTCAGGATCGGTCCTTAGGGCTTAGTGTCTGCAGAGGTGTTGGTTTGGATATTGGATCCCCTTCCCTGGATAGTTCTGCTGTCCAGTACCTAAATGGCCACATGGCCCTTCTATTTATCTTCAACCTGACATCTGGCTTTGCCTTGGGACAGCTCTGTGCTGCCTGCGTTCTTTCTGGCTCAGCTATTTGTCTGGAAAGATGCTTCCTGTGTGTGGAGGGGGGAGAGAAAGGGTGAATACATAATGAGGGGCAAGGGGGTTTGCAGTGGTTGAGAATAAGCCATTAGCTCAGATGTCACCCTCAAATCCCATCTCTACCCGCAGAGCAGGGCTATGACTTCTGTGAAGTTCAGTACCTACCTCAGAGTTCACTTGTGCAAGTAGTGTTACTACCTATGTTAATACCGAAGTGCTTACTGTGTGCTATTAAGCGCTACTCTGCAGATATCAGGGGTTGTTTAAGTGTGTGGGGGTATCTTTGCAGACAGTTCAGACCCTTTCTATATGACATTAGTCATTCATCTCAACAGAGATCCCTTGCTAAACATGTTTATCTGATATCTTCATGCCCAGTACTGGGCAGACTGGATGGTTTGTCCCATAGTGCTAGGGTTCTCGTTGGTCATCCTAGCCTGCTAGCTTCCAGGTGGATGATATTGGATCTTCTTTCTCTCTGCATCTGCCCACGTGGCATGTGGCGCAGGGGCAGTGGATGCAGTTGGAACGCATCTGTGGCCCCAGCCGAAGTGACACTCACATGTTAACCTTGGTGTCCAGTTTCTTCAATCCACAAGGAGGGTCGGAGTGTACATTTTAGGCTGATAAGGACCTGATGTTGACCAGAAGACTCTCGATGCATCTGGGTCACGTAGCATGCACCTGATACATTAACTAGCTCTTGAGAACAGAAATCTTTGGTTTAAGATATTCTTCTTGCTCCTTCCATGAGTAAAAAGGGAGGAAAGAGACTTAGACTTATAAACTCACCCGGGAGTTGCATCTCCATTCATTGGGTGTTTGTGACGGAGACTTTCTTCCACACACCTGTCAGCCTCTGATACAGAAATCCATGCTAGAGTCTTCATGAACATGAGCTGGCTCGCCTCTCTGGCTTTTAGTACATTTCCAATGTTCTCCAAAATGAAGCTGGCTTCCTTGGAATCTCCATCTTGTCGAGTGTGGTAGTGCACACCTGTAATCTTTAAGTGAGGGAGGCTTAAAGCAGGAGGATTAAGAGTTTGAGAGTCTGAACTGGATAGTTAGATCTTGTCTCACAAGGAAAAGGGAAAAAGAAAGGGGAATGAGGAGGGGGAGGAGAAGGAGAAAAAGAAAAACACGCTCCATTCTGCCTGCAGAATTCCCCCAACAGGCCTAACCTGCGTGACCAAAAGTGGCCAGCAGGTGGCAGGCCAGCCTCATGGTCCCTGGGATCAGCCTTGGCAGAGCTGGACAACCTCGTGTCAGCCGGTCCACACTGTGCGAACTGCCTCCCTCCGGATAGGAGGAAGTTGGTAGAAAGGGAGGAAACCAGCTGGGCTGGCACTGTCCCTTCTTACCTGGCTTTCCCCTATGGGATTGATAATGAAGGGAGGCCATCCGTGGTCTGCTCTGAGAGTGATGGACACTCCTTCCTCGCCCCCCCCTCCTACTCTGGGATAGCGTGATCCCCTCTTCTACCATCCTCAGCCCCAAACACTGCTAGTTCCCCCCCCCCCCCCCCGCCACCGCTGGTCCTGAAGTTGCCTCTGCACCCATTGGGGGCTGGGAATGGATACTGTCTACCGTAGACCCGTCAGCTTCCCATACAAGTCCAGAGTAGCGTCATCATGAACTTGGGCCTGGCCTCCAGTCCTGCAGCTTTGGGGCTTCCTATTGGGCAGGGAGAGAGTTTCGGGAGTTCACCCCCAGCAGGCAGATTTTCCAAACTGAATCTCATGGGGGCCCCCAAAGGATCCTCTGACACCTGGCCAGTGTCCTTCTCGCTGGGAAACTGAGGCTTCCACTGCCACCTCCGCTGGAAGGAGGACTTGCGGCTGAGCATGTTGGGAGGCTGCCCAGCACCTGTCCCCAAGGCTTTCTCAGAGGTGACACTGGCCAAGGCAGGGGTATTTGGGGGGCTTGCGGGTGCTCCAACAAGGCCCTGGCTAGTGGTGCACGTGTCCTTGTATATTGGTTCCTGTTGTTCAGGGTAGATGCCTAGAAGTGGTATGACTGGGTCGTAAGGGAGGTCAATCTTTAGCTTTCTAAGGACCCTCCAGACTGCTTTCCAAAGTGGTTGTATAAGTGTACATTCCCACCAGCAGTGTAATAGGGTTCCTCTTTCTCCACATCCCCTCCAGCATTTGTCGTTGGCTGATTTGTGGATGTGGGACATTCTGACTGGGGTAAGGTGGTATCTCAGGGTTGTCTTTATTTGCATTTCCTTCACCACCAGGGATGATGAACATTTCCTCATGTGTTTCTTTGCCATTTTTATTTCTTCATTTGAGAAGTCCCTCTTTAGTTCCCTTGCCCATTTAGTAATTGGTTTGTTAGGTTTGGGAGGGATTAGTTTCTTGAGTTCCCTGTATATACAGGATGTTAACCCCTTGTCTGATATATTGCTGGTAAATATTTTTTCCCAATTAGTTGGTTGTCTTTCTAGCTTAGTTGCAATAGATTTAGCTGTGCAGAAGCTTTTTATTTTAAGGTAGTCCCATTTGTCGAGACTCTCTCCAACTTGTTGTGACCCTGGGACTCTGTTCAGGAAGTTCCTTCCTGTGCCTATTAGTTCAAGTGTCTCTCCTACTCTGTCCTGCAGTAGTTTCAGAGATTCAGGTTTAATGTTAAGGTCTTTAATCCATTTTGAGTTGATGTTGGTGCATGGTGATAGGCTGGGGTCCACTTT